CTTAAAATGTATTACAGCCAGACTGCAGACCTAATTACTTGCCCTGCACGCACATAACTTAGCAACTGGATGAATCTAGCAAACTTTGTGCTGGACACACAAAGACATTTTCCCTCTCTGTCTCTGTCTCTGTCTCTGTCTCTTTCTCTGTATGTCTCTGTCTCTCTCTCTCTCTCTCTCTCTGCTCAATCCAATTTTTTAAAGAAATGACCACCGAAGAACAAACATGCTGGAGCAGAACTATATAATATGAGCTCTAGAGTCTCAAACGTTTGAAAAGTTCTGGGTGCAAATCCCAGAGATTTCCTAAAGTTGTTACCAACTTCTACTTTTAATGCACTCTTCAGCAAGCATCATGCAGCTGTTCTGAGGGACAGATTGTCATCAGTAAAGCAGAGCCACATACTAAGACAGACATGTCAAACACAATGCCTGGGGGCTGGATGCGGCCCACAAAGTGGTTTCATGTGGCCCGCGAAGCCATCCTGGAAACAGTGAGGGAACGGTCCCCGCTGCCATAGCCCTGGCCCAGGCCGGCTGGGAGCCAATGTACAATTTTGTGGTGGCCATTTATGCTGAAACGCTCCACAAGGCCATCTGGAAACAGCGAGGAACCAGCCCCTTCCGCATTGACCCCATCCCTTGGGTACATCCTGGGGAGGTGTCACCCTTTGTGAGGAATGAAGAAATGCACCATCGCCTGGAAGTGGCCAGCAAATGGCCCTCGCCTACTTCACATATCCGGCTTGATGGGCTCTGGGGAAGGGGTTTTGGCAGGCAGCGGGTTTCGGCAGACAGCTGAGCTGGGTGGTGCGAATCTGATGAGAAGTGCAATGCTGCCTAGCCTCCAGCTTGCCCAGTTTCAGCAGGCAGCAAGGTGCAAAGATGGCAAGCTTCGCACCACCCAGCTCAACCTCTCGGCACTGTGAGGAGAGTGCCCCGCTGCCTGCTGAAACCGGGCAGGCTGGGGGCTGGCGGCATTGCGCAGGTAATGTTGACTCTCACGCTGCTCATGGCATCCCTTTCCCCAGAGCCCACCAAGCCAGATATGTGAAGTAGATGAGGGCCATGTGCTAGCCACTTCCAGGTGATGGTGCATTTCTTCATTCCTCACGAAGGGTGACACCTCCCCAGCTCTGTTTCTTGCCTGTTTTTCTCCCTCCGTCATCTTTAATATTTTCCCACCATTTTGTATTTAGGAAGGAAGGAAAGAAGGAAAGAAGGAGAGAGAGGGTCTGAGGGAAGTCCTGCCTTAGTCCTGCCCTGCTGCCCTTTCACCATCCCCTTGCCCCCTCCTCCTGGCCTATCCTGGGGGTCTCCCATCCTATTGCTAAGGAAGCTTTGGATACAAAGCTGTGTCTCCTCTCATGGAGAGGGAATGGGTCTCCCTCTGACTTTGCCCTCATACCCATCATGAGCAACCTGGGTAAGGAGAGCAAGCACAGCAGCAGCAGCCTTGAGGAGGAGGTAAGTGCAGCTGGGTGGCCCCTTGGGAAAGTGGGGCCGGGCTTGGTGCCATAGGTGCTTGAGTGCCAGGCTGGGCATTTGACCTCTGCTGTCCTGGGCTTCCGGCAGCTCACACCACCATCCAGCCCCCCTGCATGGCCTGAGAGGAACAGTGAGGCTCCTCCAGTGGACCATGCCTTGGTATTGCCCTGGTCCCATCCCCTTCTGCCAGAGACCCTCAGATCTGTCCCACTCCTGTCCAGGCCCCCACAGGCACCCTTGATGCGAATGATGTAGAGCTGACTACGCCCACCCAGTAAGCCACACCCACTCCATCCACACCCATCCAGTAGGCTGCACCCACCCTGGCCACACCCACCCCCCCGAGGGCAACCACAATGCTGATGGGGCCCTCAATGAAATTGAGTTTGACACCCCTGTACTAAGAAAAAATCTCATCTCTCAAGAACTTTATACAATCTGGTATACTGTGATTAAAATAATCAGTGATGTTTAAATCACAAAATTCACTTTGATTTTAGGCAGAGCTGTAGGATGTTGAAATCATAAATCTGCCCTTATCCCAAGAAGGTATTATGTTCCAAAATCTGGGCGAAACATAGATATTGTTTACTGTGACCCTGATTAGTTATATTTATTTTAGTTGGGTTTCAGGTAATTTTTTTCAATGAAAGTGTCTTTGGTTGGTCTGCAAGATAATCTCTATAGGACAAAAGACAGAAATGTGCCTTTTATTGGCCTTTCATAGACTGAACACCATCACATATCATAAAAAGGGACAAGGTTCTCTCAGATCTGGACCTCCTTGGCCTGCCAGAAGGCCGATTTTAAACAATTCAGAAGACTAATGGTGTCACTAGAAGGGGCAAGGCTACATTTTTTAAATCTTTTTTTATGAGGAGAGGGAATTAGAGATAGAATAGTAGCAAGAATGATCTGTCTCCCACAGACCACTCAGTTTTATTTTCACCTTATTATGGGCACAGGAATGGATTCGTGAGAGTGGAATCAAGCTGCTGAAAAATTGGCCAGTTAACAGAATAACAAAGTTGGAAGAGACCTTGGAGGTCTTCCAGTCCAACTCTAGCTCAAGCAAAAAACCCTATACCCATGGTGGCAAACCTATGGCATGCGTGCCACAGGCGGCACGCAGAGCCGTCTCTGGTGGCACGTGAGTCATTGCTGGGCTGAACTGCTCTCTCCTCCTCTCCGCGCATGCACAGTCCAGGAATAAGTGAGAGGCTATAAAAGGAGCAATTTTCTGTGGAAGCAGCATTTGCTGCTGACAGCTTGAGAGCGAACACAAGTTGGAGCAGACAGCGAGCGAGTGAGTGAGCATGAGCTGACAGCTTAGTGGCCATGCCCACTTGGTGGCCACACCTACCTGGCACCTGACGATGCATAAGTGGGTTTTGGGTTGCAATTTGGGCACTTGGTCTCTAAAAGGTTTGCCACCACTGCCCTATACTATTTCAGACAATCTCTTCTGAAAAACCTCCAGTGTTGGAGCACCTACAACTTCTGGAGGCAAGTCATTCCACTGATTAATTGTTCTGTCAGGAAATTTCTCCTTAGTTCTAGGTTGGTTATCTCCTTGATTAGTTTCCATCCATTGTTTCTTGTCCTGCTTTCAGATGCTTTAGTTTAGAGAATAGGTTGATCCCCCTCTTCTTTATAGTAGCCCCATAGATATTGGAACACTGCTATCATATCACCCCTAGTCCTTCTCTTCATTAAAGAACATGTTCTTTATATGTTTTAGCCTCCAGTCCGCTAATCATGTTTGTTGCTCTTCTCTGCATTCTTTCTATAGTCTCAACATCTTTTTTACAACATTGCAACCAAAATTGGATGCAGTATTTCAAGTGTAATCCTACCAAGGTATTATAAAGTAGTATTAACATTTCATATGATCTTGATTCTATCCCTCTGTTAATGCAGCCTGGGACTGTATTGACTTTTTTGGCTGCTGCAACACACTGCTGGCTCATATTTAAGTGATTGTCCACTAGGACTCTGAGATCCCTCACACAGTTACTACTATTGAGCAAGGAACCACCTATACTGTACCTGTGCATTTGGTTTTTCTTACCTAAATATAGAAACTTACTTTTTTCACCATTGAATTTCATTTTGTTTGTTACTAAATTTAGCCATTGGGGTGTCAGAGTCCAGGAGGATCACAAATAGGGTGCTTGGGGCCTACATGGGGCCTGTAGACCAGGAGTGCTCAGCTGTGAACTATAATATATTTCTGTGCTGGGCATGAAAAATAATTGCTAGGTTCCAATTGCCTCTTAAATGAATGGCTATTTCTAAAAAGTAAGCTTACTGTGTCACTGTTTAACTCCTGACAGACCTGGAGTTAAATGATGCAGAGCGTCATCAATTTTTTTTTCTCCCACACTGTTTAATATCTACATGAAATTGGTGAGAGAGGTAAAATGGAAATAACACCCACTTCACTTTTTTTCTCCCCTCAATTGGAAATGAACTGTGCTTGAGTATGGTTAAAGACTGGATAAAAGCAAATTAAATGAAACTCATAAAAAATCTAAAATATTATAAACTGGATGTCCAGCTGGTTAAATGATGTCCCAGCTCTTCTAGTGCTATAAAAGGTTACATTTACACTCTAGAAATGCTTATTGATCTAGCACTGTCATGGCTGATATTTCAATCACAATCTTAACTACCAGAGATAGTTTGGCCACAAATATTCTCCCATTTACATTCATCCAATGCAGCCTTATACATAATATTTTTATTTGGTCAGAAAAGGCTGTAACTTTTCATCAGGAGCATGATTTTATAGACATTATTTCTTTTTATTTGTCAGCCAGATGGAATTCCTGTGCATTTCTGGGAACCAGTCCTGTTTTTATTTTTTAAAGCCCTAAATATTTATGGGGAAGATATTACCATACCTGCTTCATTGACTGACTGACTGACTGATTGATTCATTCATGTGCCTTCCAATTTCAAACTGATTTTGGGCAGCTCACAAGACAAGACAAGGTGATATTAAAATAACAATCTAATAAAACAGAAAGTGGCTGTTCTTACATTGGTGTTGTTCAAATCTTAACTCTTTTCAGATCTAAGAACTTTCTCCAAATAACATTTGTTGAATGATGATTTAGGAGAAGTTTCCCATAAAGACTATTCAGCATTTTAAAATGTATCTGAATAAGTCATAGTGGAGAGCTAAACAATCCTTTTAAAAGATCCATTTCTTTTGTGAGTCATCCAGAGAACTTTTATTATGGATCCAATATTGAAACCCAGTCGATAATATGTAAGCAACATGTAACTCTCAATCACACACACGAAAAAATGTAAACTTCTTTTTCTTACTTCTGTCTCTATTAAGAAAGAGTGTACAGAGAATTGCTTTCTCTTAATTATTTCTATATTTAGTATTTGATTAAATTTAGACTATCTTAATATGTTCCAACATAAGCTAGTTTTAAATCAAAAGGCACTTTGAGATCTGTTTCTTGCATTCTGCTAAATATTTCTTATTTCTTCAAGCTACACCATAAGAAGCATGTGACTGTCTCCTCTGGTTTCAGTATCTTGTTTCCAGCATGAACAGACAGGTAATAACCATTCAGCTGTGCATTACCTCTTCTAAAAACTATTATCAAAATGGTAATTATACATAATGGAGATTATTATAGGCAGCTTGAGAGATTTTTTTTTTAGATACATCAGCACAAAATGGGTGGCCCTTTTTAGCCTTAGGCATTGATAGAAATAATACCAGGGCACAATATATATGGCAAATGTTCCCTTTTATCTGAACACTGTCAGCAATGAATGCACTCAGTACTAGTTTGCACAGTTAAATTATATTTATTCAACAGATATATTTACCACTGATTTGAAGGGGAAAAAATCAGAATCCAGTGCTAATTGTTATATTAGAATACAGAGTTAATGCCGAACAAGCGCAGCATTTTGTTCAATTTACACGGGCTACTAGTAATAGGATGAAACACTGCTTTTTATAATCAGAAGCATTAACATTTTCAAGAATATCCATCTTACGTCAGCATTATCTTGCTCCTCTTGTTAAAGTTCTATATTGGTTTTCCATAAAATATAAGGCATCTAGTCCTTATTTTTTAATATGTTCCACTTTTGGATTACTTTCCTTATGAGGTCAGCTCTCCCTCTAGAAAACTATCGGCTCTCACTGATTCTCTGTTTCAGTCAACTAGTTTTTCCTCTATTTACCAGGTTGATTTTCCCTTTTCTTTCAAGTTTCTGACCCAACTCAGGCTTTGTTAGAACAACTGCTTCCCTGCCCTTGCCTCTCCCCTTCATCACAGTATTGCTATGTATTGGAAACTGCAAATCCTTTGTGAATTGTATGTGATGCTTATCACACCATTGGTACTAGATAAATATTTAGTAGTCAGGTTCATTTCTTTGACATCTCTGCTTTTTGTCACAAATTAGTTTACAAAGCAATCATTTTCACTTCATAAAGCTGCCTATGGACTTGCAGCTCTGCTTATTTGACATCAAGACCTCATCCAGTCTTCCTCTATTTTCCCCCCACAAGAACTGCATCTATACCCTCTTCTCCAAGAGACCTAATGCCAACAGAAAACCTAGACACAGGTCTATTGCTGTTGAAGCTGAGCTTGATCAACCTCACCTTTGTTTTTATTTTTACTAAAATAGGTAAGACCAAGTGTAAGGGCCATCCCTCAATTCCATTTTAAATCTCCCAGAATGCACTGTCATATAAGGTTTGCTGAGAAGAATCTTCACTTAGGATCCTTTCAACCTGCAGCCAACCCAATTTTTTGTATCTGTTTTGTCTTTTACAAAAAAGCTTCATCTTTATATGAAGTTTGACAAGTTTAACTGCTTATGTGTATCATTTGACGACTCCTTCTTCAAGCCAACATGTTTGGAAATTTTTTTCTGGAGACTGTTTAGTAGAAATAAAACGAACAAAACCACTCAGGCTTTTCACAAACCCTGATAGCTGGTTGACACTTCACTGCTTCCTCCAATTTGGCTTGTTTCCTGTACAGGTCCCAGCCAGAAAGAGAAACTCTTGTCCTCAACTGCGATGACCAAGGGCATTTGTCACAAGTTGCTAGAGGTATCTTTGTCTACAAGGGAAATAATAGCCATTAGAAATCAAACTGTTAAGTCTTTTATTAGAATTTGTTATACTGTACTGGCTGAAAGATGCATAGTACAATTTATCCTTTAATTTAAACAATAAAAATGATGGACACATGTGAACAATATTGTTCACTAAACTAAGAATTGGTTTTGCTTTCACTTCTGGAGCAAACTGTTGTTTTTGTCTGCAGGGATTGATTCGGATTTTAATTTAAGGTTTAGGACAGTCCATCTTTCTTGAGTCCCATTGGCCGGTTGAGCTGATTTTCCTGTGCAACAGCACCCTTTGGCTCTTAAAAGAAGAGGAAAAGGGAGCACGAGAATGTTGCTATTTGCAAAATAAATGTTCCATTTAAAAAAAAAAAAAAAACCCACAGTAGTAAGTGTAATTTTTGTCACATGCATCTGTTGCTATCACCTCTCAGTTTGTGCTGAAGTATTAGCCAGAGCATTTACATAAATGATTCTTCTTCCCAGCCCTGACATCTGCCACTGAGAATCCTACATTATTCATCAGCGTGCTAATGGCAGGTGATGAGATCTTTTCACGCTACATCCCTCTCAGTAGGTGTTTATTACTCTGTTCCCCAGCAGCCTGCGATTACTGCGGGCCAGAAGAACGCTACATCCTTGCTTGACAGGTAATGGGAAATGTGCTCTGCTCACTTGCTTCACAAGTGCAAATGAAGGTTAGAAGGAGGGCAGCTGCCGTCTTGTGGCCTCTAAGATGATGGTCACTTTAAACCCACAGCTTTTGTTTTTTTTTTGGAGATCCAGACAAACCACGTCAGCAATGTGGTAATCTATCTTCTTTAACTTCTGCCATTTCAAAGAATCATTGTGGTGCAATAATTTTCCTTCCTGTCATCTGACTCCCTCAGAATCAAGGGAGTGGAAGCTAAGAGTGGAAGAATCAGCAGAAAGGAAGATTGGAGTTTGGTTAGCATCTGACAATGTTGCTGGGAAAATTGAATGCCTGTTAAGCAGGATGCTGATGTATGCGCATGTGACATGTAACTGCATCGCTCTCTCTCTCTCTCTCTCTCTCTCTCTCTCTCTCTCTCTCTCTCTCTCTCTCTCTCTCTCTCTCTCTCTCTCTCTCTCTCTCTCTCTCTCTTTCTCCTCTCTGCTAGCAGTGAGTAGTCTTGTCGAAAATTGTTAGAAAGAGCTTGGCAATAAGAAACTGTTTCTAATGATTGGGGGAAGAGCTTTGTGACTCCAATTATAGGGTGGAGCAGATCATCGCATTGAAATAAAATTTAATTTCTTTGTTTTCAATCAAAGTAAGAGTTCCATTTACTGAAATGTTTCATTGCAATCAATTGCTCTGGCTTTTTGTTGTTGTTGCAGACAAGACACTGTTAGGAAAATCAAAATAAATGGAAGATGATTGCTGTAATTTAATAAAATTAAGAAACTATCATATCATTCTTTTAAGCAACAAAAGACATTTTTAGAAAGATTGTGACACGTTGACAGATACACTTTCATACTAATTATTCTGAGTTTTCAGTTATTTCTGATGATTTTTTTGCACTTTTACATACATCCCTTTTAAGCATCTGTAAACATCCTCTGTTTTCCTACCACCTCTTTTCTCTTTGCTTCCTACTTAAAAGAATTCTGCTGAAAAAGAAAGAGCACTGAATACAAAAGCTTTTAAAGTCATTTTCTTTCTCCTTTATAGAAATATTCCATGCTATTTTTGAAACTGTCATATTTATTTTATTCAGGGAACACACTTTCCCCTGTGAAAGGTTTTATTTCCAGCAAAGTGGAAATAAAGTCATTGCTGTCCATAGCAACATCTACCCTATTGCTGCTCAGTCCCTAAATTTTCCTCTAAACAGAACTCTTCTTGCACTTATTCATAGATGGTATTACAACACAGTCTCCTATGTGACAATGATGTTGGGTTGGGGAAAGTACACCAAACATACACAGATGGGATCCTCAACACGCTCAGGTTGGGAAGAGCCAGGAGAAGAAAACACAAAGCAAGACCATTTTCTGAACAACGTACAGATAATATACCTACTTCTGCTGCTTATGAAACACTGTCCACTTTCATTATGTATTTTGAACATCTTCACAGATGGAGGGAAGGGTTTTTATTGTTCCCTTACTACTCCTTCCTGTCCTAACTCCCACCCTAAAAAAAAAAAAACCCTCAACAGACACAGAAAACATATTATCTCAGTGAGTTTCAGTGATTTGACTGTAGCATAAATAAATTATCCTGAAGGCAGAACAAGAAATAATGGATGGAAGCTTATCAAAGTGAGATCTAAGGAGAAATTTCTGGCCAGTGTGAATAATTAATCAGTGGAATAGCTTGCCTTCAGAAGTTGTGGGTGCTTCATCACTGGAGATTTTTAAGAAGGGATTGGATAGTCATTTGTCCAGAATGGTATGGGATCTCCTGCTTGGGAAGGGGAAGACCTCCAAAGTCTCTTCCAACTGTGTTATTCTGTATTCTAAATATCTGTAATTTGTAGAAATATCTTTCTAAAGAAACAATCACTCTAATAGGCTTATTGTCCTAAGCCCTATTCATGACCATATATTTGTGGTAGAAAAAAAATCGTATGGTGGAAATAAGTAAGTAGAAATTTTACAAAGTGATTTACAGTTCCATTCCACTAGCAAGTAATGTTTAACTGTTATAAATCTTGTTATAAATCTCTGATAACCAGAATAACAATATACTACTATAAGAACATCAGTAAAAAAAATGACCACTGTAGCACTGACAACATCCTTACTGCCTGTTTTAGTGTTTTAGTGTTTATAGGCACCAAACTGGTAATACTCTGAAATGAAATTTGCATGGAAAATCCACTATCATGATGGAGGAATGCGGTGTCCCAATAGTGATGAGTGATTTGAGAGGTATGTATTCTGAAATATGTTAAACTGTGCAAAGAGAAGCTGAAAGGAAAACTTCAAGTATCTGTCTAGGTCAGTGGTTCTCAACCTTTTTAATGCCATGACCCCCCAACTGGTTGTAAGTCGAGGTCTACTCAACTGGTCGTAAGTCGAGGACTACCCAACCAGTCATAAGTCGACGACTTTTCTTGCCCGGGAGCACCGCGCATGCGTGGTGCCGTGCCCCTGCGCTGGCCGAGGTGTAGCTGGCAAGGGGCAGCGACGGCACAGGGCGATCACTGGCTGGGCCACCAGCTGGCCCAGCCCAAGGGAGGTAAGGCATCCGCCGGGCCCCACGCGCGCCAGCAACCCTCCCTGCACCCGCCGGCCTCCCACCTCCCACCCCTGGCCCTCTTTTACTTACATTTTTAGTAGTTGCTCAGCAGGGAGGGGTGGAAAGTTCCAGACAGCTCGCCTTCGCTGCAGACAACTTGCAGCACCGTTTGCAGAATGGGACTTTTGGCGGGTTCAGCAGGGAAGAGACAGCCTGGACAATTCCTATTGGCTTTAGAATTAGACTCTATTCAAGAGAGTCTATTCTATTGGCTTTCAAAAGCAATAGGATAAAAGGGAGTAGCACAGCTAAGGAAAAGGGGAAAAAATGGCAGACTGCATTGTTTGGCGACCCCTGTGAAATGGTCATTCGACCCCAAATGGGGTCGCGACCCACAGGTTGAGAACCGCTGGTCTAGGTCACACTGAAGCTACAGCAAATTTATTATCTCTTACTAGGAATTATAGAAACTAGAACCAGTTGGTAGACTTTGTAAATGGTAAACGAATAGAATTGTTTTGTCTAAGCAATGGAAGAAATATCCTAACAGAACATTTTGAGGAAACAAGAAAAAAATTTCTATATATTGGTATATTCTCATTCGGTGCAGGTTTGATAGCTATTGCTCAAGGGTAGCATAAGTCCACTCTGTATGTGGACCCTGCATTAAGCAGGGAATTAGCTTAAAAGGCTTCTAATGTCACGATGGCTCAGTGGTTAAAGATACTGAGCTTGTCAGCTGGAAAGTTGACTACTTGGGTTTGAGATCTGAGTGCTGTGCGACAGGGTGAGCCGCTGTCACCTGCTCCAATTCCTGCCTACCTAGCAGTTCAAAAACATGTAAATGTGAATAGATAAATAGGTACCACTTTGGTGGAAGGTACCAGCTTTCCATGTAACTCGGTATGTCACCTGATCACAGAAATGTCTTTGGACAATACTGGCTCCCTCAGCTAAGAAACAAAGGTGAGCACTGCCCCCTAGAGTCAGACATGACTGGACAAGGGAAACCTTTACTTTACCTTTATCTAATGTCCCTTTCAACTCTAGTGGTAGTACTGTGATGGTGCATTGAAAGCCAGTACACATGATCTTTAAAGATGAAACAAAGAGGTGGTTTTTGAGAAGAAAATGTGAATCTGTATTGTTCTATGATGCCGTTGCATTCATTACAGAGTCTGAAGAGTAAATTCTTCCAAAGTAGTGTCCTTCTGATAGAAAATTCTAAGCTTGGTATTTGTATCTTGGGGAAGTTTGCCCTACAAGTACAATCTACTAGGTCATTTATTTTGTAAAAGCTCTATTGAAATGAATGGATGTTTTTATGAGAAGAATTTGCAATTTTCCATTCATTTCAATGCAGCTCATTGTGCTCGTGTCAAAATATATTGAATCTTTTTTTTTTGTCATGTCCTTGTTATCAACACTTTGGAAACAAAAAGGCCATATTTCATTGCTGTCAACAGTTTCCCAGCAGAAGTTCAATCAACTGCAATTGTTGAAAGAAAAAGGAAGAAGTAGAAGAAGTTTACTGGAAATGCCATAAAAATATTCAGAGGTAAAAGTAAATGGATTTATTTTAGGCTTGCAGAAATGAACAATCTCGGGATTTTTTTTTGTGGGGGGGGGAAGGAAGCACAACATTCTTTCTTTTAATGATATTTTAAATTATCAAGTTAAAGACAAGCCAAAGAGATTTTTTTTAGCCTCGTAAGATACCCATGAAATAGGATAAATGCAACACATAGGAAAGGGGTGGGGTTAGACAAATGACATGCTTCTTGACCTTAATAAATGAATATTAAGGGATGTGGTAGATTATTTTGTATTATTTTTTTTATTTTGGATACATTTATTGTAGTACTAAAGATTGAAGGGGGTTTGCCTGAGGGCAGACTCGAGTATTCCACACTTTGTGCATTTGAATAATGCAACTATATGCCACTCTTCCCAATGCATGATGTACATGTGTATACGCAAAATATGTTCCATCTAGGGGGGAGGGGTGTTGTGTCCTGAGCCTGCAAAAGCAGGCTCGGGATGTTGCATTGGTCCCGGGCATTCCAAAAGCTGCTCAGGACCAGACAGAGCGGCGCTGGCCTTGTGCGCATGCGCAAGGTGTGAAAATGCTCTGTTCCTATTGGTTGTCATTGCCGGGTTTCTGGCCATATAAAAAGGCCTGCGAGCCTTTTGCTTTTGCTTGGTTGTTGTTAGAAGGAGAATAAAGAGTTGTTCAGCATCGCCATGTGTCTTCATCATTCGCACGTGAACGAAGTACTCAACAGTTCCCATCCTGTGTGTGTCAGAGGCACTGTTTGAGGCATTTCTGTGTCGAAAGAATTAACTGGTGACATCACTGTTGCCCAGGGGATGTCCAAGGGGCTCCTTTCATAAGGAGCTGGAATGAATGATAAAAGCTCACCTCACATATACTACACACTACCATTAGTAATAGTAGTAAAGTTGGAAGGGACCTTAGAGGTCATCTAGTCCAACCCCCTGCTCAGGCAGGAAACCCTACACCATTTCGGACAAATGGCTGTCCAGTCTCTTCTTAAAAACTTCCAGTGTTGGAGCATTTACTGCTTCTGGAGGCAGGCTGTTCCACTGATTAATTGTTCTCACTGTCAGGAAGTTTCTCCTTAGTTCTAGGTTGCTTCTCTCCTTGATTAGTTTCCACCCGTTGCTTCTTGTCCTGCCTTCAGGTGCTTTGGAAAATAGCTTGATTCCCTCTTCTTTATGGCAGCCCTGAGATATTGGAATACTGCTATCATGTCCCCCCTTGTCCTTCTCTTCGTTAAACTAGACATACCCAATTCTCGCAACCGTTCCTTATATGTTTTAGCCTCCAGTCCCCTAATCATCTTTGTTGCTCTTCTCTGTACTCTTTCTAGAGTCTCAACATCTTTTTTTACATCATGGTGACCAAAACTGGATGCAGTATTCCAAGTGTGGCCTTACCAAGGCATTGAAGAGTGGTATTAATACTTCACATGATCTTGATTCTATCCCTCTGTTAATGCAGCCTAGCACTGTGTTGGCCTTTTTGGCAGCTGCAGCACACTGATGGCTCATATTTAGGTGATTGTCTACTAGGACTCCGAGGTCCCTCTCACAGTTACTACTATTGAGCATGGTGCCACCTATGCTGTACTTGTGCATTTGGTTTTTCTTGCCTAAATGTAGAACCTTGCTTTTTTCACCATTGAATTTCATTTTGTTAGTTAGTGCCCAGTGTTCAAGTCACCTCACCACACAGCAGCACCCAGGTCTTCAACAAGGGCTTGCTAACTTCCAGTCCGTCTTAACTACCTAAGCCACTATGCTCCTGGCAGCATTGATGTCCCCAAAAGTTTAGCACCCTGGACCAGTGCCTACTTGGCCTTAGCTTAAAGTCAGCCCTGCATTCAGAATTACCCCAAATGTCAGGTCAGGGAGCTAAGCAAAGCCTTGCTTTACAGAGAAACGGAAAGAGTAATCTATCAGCAACATCCATCCATTCTCTGTCAATTAAACTTCTTCTTTGAGAGTTGGAATTATCCCTACCCTAACTAACTCTAGATTGCATTTAATGCTTTGTTTTAGTCTTCCCTTTTCATTTTATTATGAATTAGCAACCAATAAAGGTTATAATAATAATGTTTAAACTCAGACTTGGTCTCTAAGGATCTATAAAACTCAGACAAAATACCTGGAGGAAGGATGCCAAATTTGTTGGGAATCATTGGAAAAGGCTATTCATTATGTGCCTATGAAATTTATTTTCTCTAAATACTCACAACTGTTTTGTTTTGTGATAGAATTTAGTGAAGATTACATAAAATGTATTATTAGCATTATCTGTGACAAATTTCAAGCACTTTTTTTTTGCAAACATGGGGTTCTGACAAAGAATAATAATGTTCCTTTATGAATAGGTTGGAGCTGACTGTTCACCAGAGAGGACAGAATGAAGTACTTAACTGACTCATCTTTTCTCTAAAAGTCAACAAACTTCTTTAACCATTCAGGCAGATAAGGCTCCAGAAAATATATTTTCACAACTTAAAAGTTGAGAAATGGGAAATAGCAAGGGGACAAAATGGTCAAAACTGCTCAGATTTTTGCCACAGACTGGTATAATTAAACATACCAGTCATACATTCCTCATTCATCTTTCTCTTCCTCCAAATATGCAAGCGTTTGTAGAACAGCAGGAATCTCCAAACTTTAATAAAACATTACTAAGGTGCAGTAATGTTTTTTTCTCATAGAACGTCCATAACGGAGTTCCGGCACCTTTTTTGGATGGAACCTTGTAGGGTAGGCAAGGCGGGTTGTATGACATCTGTGAGTTCCGGCACTTTTTTTTTTTTTTTTTTTTTACAAAAAAAGCACTGCTAAGGTGTATGTATGTATTACACGAGCCAATAAATTGTTGCTGACTATTAGCAACCACAAAGACATTTTTCCATGATGATCTCTCAGGTCTTGCAACAGTGCACCCATCACCACTATAACCAAGTCCATCTCTTTATTTCATTCCTGGTTGTTTGGTTGCTGGTCATCCTCTTCATCTCTTTCCTTTCACCGTTCCCAGCAAAGCAGTGTCTCCAGAGAGCTAGGTTTTCACATAATGTGTCTGAAGTATGCGTATATGTGTGTGTATGTATAATAATAATAATAATAATAATGATAATGTTGGAAGGGATCTTGGAGGTCATCTAGTCCAGGGCTTTTCAACCAGTGGTACGGGTACCACCTGTGGTACATTGGCACCTGACAGGTGGTACACGACCATCCTAGAAAAGTGGTAGCGGGGGAGGGGAATGAACTGAACCGGAGGCAGCACCGCACAAGCCTGAGCGAGAGATGGCTGGAGCTGCAGGGCTGTCAGGGCTCAGCGGAAGCTCCAGGATCAGTGCCACTTTCCAGCTGATTGGCGCTTCTTTGGGACTGTCAGGGCTAGTGGAAGCACCAGGATCAGCGCCAGGCTCCAGCTGGAGCTCGGCGCTGATCCTGGTGCTTCTGCTGAGCCCTGAAGAAGCACCAATCAGCTGGAAAGCAGCACTGATCCTAGTGCTTCTGCTGAGCCCAGAAGAAGTGCCAATCAGTTGGAATGTTGCAGCCTCTCCAGGGTCTTGTGATATACATTCAGATGCTTGGCAACTGATTCATATTTATGATGGTCACAGTGTCCCAGGGTCATGTGAAGTGACCAAAACCTGCTGCAACCACACAGCAAATGGGGGGAATAAAAACCAAACATCCCCCACCCCTCCCCCATTGCCAATCCTCAACAGAAATGCTCACAACAATGAAAACCTCGGACAGGAGGAAGAGCACCGCCGGGCGGGCAGGCAGGTGTCTTGCTCGGCTGTGACTTGGGGGGCACTTTTTCAGTGCCATTGTAACTTCGAACAGTCACTAAGCGAACTGTTGTAAGTTGAGGACTACCTGTATTTTATCACTCCCCCCCCCTTTTTTTTGGTCATCAAGTTTTTGATACCTTGCTAGGCGACTGATGGTACTCGGATATTGCCATATTCTAAAAGTGGTACAATGGGTGAAAAGGTTGAAAAGCCCTGATCTAGTCCAACCCCCTGCTCAGGCAGGAAACCCTATACCATTTCAGACAAATGGCTGTTCAAGTCTCTTCTTAAAAACTTCCAGTGTGGGTCTACATATATACATAGGCCTATTGAAGGAAAGGTGGTAGTACCTTCCTTGCCATCCAGTAACTAATGCACATACTAAGTCATGGGTGTCCGGAAATCTTTGTAGTGGGGACAAAGCTAATTAGAACACATCTTCAGCCTTCCATAGTTCAAGCTATTCCCCAGTGCCTCCATCCCCTCTTGGATTTGGGATTTGCGTTAAACTGATTTCCAGTCCTAAATGGAATCAGCATTGAAGGCGCAAACTCCTCCTGAGGGATCAGACTACAGGTAGTCCTCTGCTCACAACAGTTCATTGAATGACTGTTTGAAGTTACAATGGCCCTGAAAAAAGTGACTTAGGAGTTTTTCACACTTACAACCCTTGTAGCATCCCCGTGGTCACACGATCAAAATTGGATGACCCATATTTATGACGGCTGCAGTGTCCCAGGGTCATGCGATTCCCCCTTTGTAACCTTCTGACAAGCAAAGTGAGTGGGGGAAGCCACTTAGCGACCTTGTTACTCGCTTAACAAATGCAATGATTCACTTAACAACTGTGGCAAGAAAAGTTGTAAAATGGGGCAAAGCTCACTTAAGAAATGTTTCATTTAGCGACATAGGTTTTGGGCTTAATCGTGGTCCTAACTCGAGGACTATTCTTTGATTGTCTAATGTACATCCCCCCCCACACACACACACCTTCACTGAAAGTGCTGCTTTTAATAATTTGCTAGAAAAATGAGAGTAACCTGTGAGGATTAGAAGGGATGAGTCAGGAGTATTGTTTGATGTATATAGGCAGTTCTTCATTCATCATTGCTTCCTTTCCTCCAGAGGGCAGAGTTACATCGGTTTTGAAAGTGGCAGACAGACAGTCCCCAGGAGATGACAATCAATGCCAATTCCTTTTAAATGA